AAAAATTACTTGAAACTTCAATAAAGATTATTCAAAGTTCTTGCATAGATTATATTAGTGATTTTATTAATTTAATGACAAATTATTAATAGCAAAAATAAATTGCATGATTAATCAATCACTACAATTCACATATAGATTAATTTTTTGAACTCAAAAGAAGATATTTTTAATTCAAATAATATTGACCAAAATTCTTACTAATCTTTCAGTTTCATCAGTAAAAACATTATCATCTTCTTCGTCATCATCTTCATTTTCGATTGTATCAAAATTAACAAACTATAACATCATAATATAGGAATTTTACATAGAATAAAGAATTAAGTACATATACCTAAAATTACCATATAATTAGTTTGGTTTCCACAAGGCTTTCGTATTTCTTTAAATATAATATATATCAAAAAGTAGAGAGTAAATATAGATGCTTTGGTATAGGCGAAAAAAAACGGCTTTTTGTAATCATCAGTTTTGAAAGGAACAAACTGAAAAACAAAATACATTTATCTTAATCACAATAATTAAAAATTGTAAAGATTTTTGAAATGTTTATCTATATTTTATAATCTTTTATAATTAATTCTTAATTAAATTTAAGATGTGACAACACTAATTATATTTRTTAGTTTAAATGAGAGCAATATTATTTCTAGTCTTATTACGTTTATACAACATACGTTAATGAATTTTGATGACATTATCCATATTATGTCTGCCAACAGTAATAACAACAAGCCAAATGTCAGTCTTTGGGACAGATTGTGCATTTTTTGCTGGTAATTTAAAAACCTTTATGGCAAGAATAAATAGCATAAATCCATTAGACTACCTAACTTCTCAAAATTACACAACTAAAGTATTACAAGTACATTGAACTAGTTAAACTAGAATACACGATTACATTTAATGATCACATTTCTGCAATGTTTTTGAATAAATATTTGCATACAAATAAATAAGGAACAATTTACATGTTTTAATTTAATATAGGCATTTGCCCTTAGCCCATACTAAGTAGTAACTAGTAAGTAATAAGTACTATACTATAATATATAATAATAATAAATATTACGTATTTACGTTATCAATTAAATGCCAAACATTTATGTTATCACTTATCGGTTCACTAGTATTATCACAGTAAAGTTAATCTGCTTAATTTATTATCATACAGTTACCATAGATCTTGTACCATAGATATAAATACTGCCACTATTCTTGGCGGTTGCACAATGAGCACGGATATGACGGTTCTGAATGTTCTTAAAAATAATTAAAAGAAAGTCGTGTCACATTAGTGCCTCTATAATGTGATATAATGTTTAATTAATGTAAAACATTAATGTTAATAWGTCACTTGCGTTTTTAAGATTCCATGTAACAATTATCATATTTTAGAATAAATTTAAGAATTATATCAGCATAGAACAATACTCAGTAACCTAACCGTATTTTATTATCTACTAGCTGCCATCGGAAACTCGCTGTCCTGAAACTCGGCGGTCCGTGAGACTCGCTGTGAGTGGTTGGTGTTGGCTGGAAATGATCATGTCGTAGTTTATTTTTTAACAAAAAAAATGAATTGTTGGTTGAAAAACAAAAATTGTCTATGTGATAAGGAGTTTTGATAAGACTCGGTGTTG